ATAGTGTCTAGAAGCTGTCTGGGCGATGGAGAGCAAATGACAGATGATGAATGTTTTTTTTACACTTATGCTTTGGGTATGGAGGGAAAATCAGAGTCCAGAAAATGTAATACCTTTGAAATAAAGAACTTAACTCTGAGCCCCCAAGGTTCCCTGACATTCTATGAGGGCGCATCATTTCACAGCGGTTCACTGATCACCCATTGTTGAAGTAGTAGAGTCAGAGATGAATATACACCGGGTTCCCTGTGGTGATTTTGATTGTGTTGTTGTGTCCAGAGACCTACAGTACATACACACATGGAAGAGAATGTACTTTTAGACTGAATAAACAGAAAACATAAAAGTTGATTAGGTTGCATTGGGAACGCTGTACATCTAATTCTAACACATACAGTAGCTTTGACTAATTCCTGTGGGGGGGGGGGGGGGGGTGGAGAAGTAATCCAACCACCAGCTAGCCAGCCTGATGTGCCAGGAGCCAGTGTCCAAACCCCAGCACAGGCTCTCTCTCTGGGGGAGTGGAGCCAGGAGCACATACCAGCAGGCCAGAGAGCCAAAGAGGCGTCAGTGTCTGTCCTCCCTGTTTCTGTGCCTGTTTATTAACAGGGGCTGTCCCCTGACAGAAGCTCCCAGCTGCAACCTCTCTGTCTGTGACATACGTAATGGGTATCTAGGCATTGGCCAACACTTAATATCTCGTGGACAGACTACATAAACATCAATGGTAATCAAGCATCAGACAAAATTGCGGAAGATTTTAGTTCTGGATTAACCGAGATTAGCCAACCCTAATGCTAGGTTCTGAATGGCAGTGGGATTGTCCTGGTAGTGGGATTGGCATATTAGTGGGATTGGCATATTAGTGGGATTGGCATGGTAGTGGGATTGGCATATTAGTGGGATTGGCATGGTAGTGGGATTGGCATATTAGTGGGATTGGCATGGTAGTGGGATTGGCATGGTAGTGGGATTGACATGGTAGTGGGATTGGCATGGTAGTGGGATTGACATGGTAGTGGGATTGGCATGGTAGTGGGATTGGCATGGTAGTGGGATTTGCATTGTAGTGGAATTGGCATTGCCGTTGTAGTGGGACTGAAATGGTAGTGGGATTGACATGGTAGTGGGATTGGCATGGTAGTGGGATTGGCATGGTAGTGGGATTGGCATTGGCGTTGTAGTGGGACTGAAATGGTAGTGGGATTGACATGGTAGTGGGATTGGCATGGTAGTGGGCTTGACATGGTAGTGGGATTGGCATGGTAGTGGGATTGGCATGGTAGTGGGATTGACATGGTAGTGGGATTGGCATATTAGTTGGATTGGCATGGTAGTGGGATTGGCATATTAGTGGGATTGGCATGGTAGTGGGATTGGCATGGTAGTGGGATTGGCATGGTAGTGGGATTGGCATGGTAGTGGGATTGGCATGGTAGTGGGATTGACATGGTAGTGGGATTGGCATGGTAGTGGGATTGGCATGGTAGTGGGATTGGCATTGTAGTGGGATTGGCAGGATATGTTTGTGTGTCTCATTTGTTGGTGAAGAGACAAGCTGGATTTAAACGAGATAAATTGAAACCTGACCCTAGAACCTTACCTGAATCATGGGTGATTTATTAAACAAATCTAATCTGTGTTGATAAAGCAGGATGTTTGGTTAAATCAATCTAATCTTTGTTGATAAAGCAGGATGTTTGGCCAAATCAAACTAATCTGTGTTGATAAAGCAGGATGTTTGGCCAAGTCAATCTAATCTGTGTTGATAAAGCAGGATGTTTTGCCAAATCAATCTAATCTCTGGTGATAAAGCAGGATTTTTGGCCAAATCAATCTAATCTCTGGTGTTAAAGCAGGATGTTTGGCCAAATCAATCTAATCTCTGGTGTTAAAGCAGGATGTTTGGCCAAATCAATCTAATCTCTGGTGTTAAAGCAGGATGTTTGGCCAAATCAATCTAATCTCTGGTGTTAAAGCAGGACGATTTGCCAAGTCAATCTAATCTCTGGTGTTAAAGCAGGATGTTTGGCCAAGTCAATCTAATCTCTGGTGTTAAAGCAGGATGTTTGGCCAAGTCAATCTCATCTCTGGTGTTAAAGCAGGATGTTTGGCCAAGTCAATCTAATCTCTGGTGTTAAAGCAGGATGTTTGGCCTAGTCAATCTAATCTCTGGTGTTAAAGCAGGATGTTTGGCCAAGTCAATCTAATCTCTGGTGTTAAAGCAGGATGTTTGGCCAAGTCAATCTAATCTCTGGTGTTAAAGCAGGATGTTTGGCCAAGTCAATCTAATCTCTGGTGTTAAACCACGATGTTTGGCCAAGTCAATCTAATCTCTGGTGTTAAAACAGGATGTTTGGCCAAATCAATCTAATCTCTGGTGTTAAAGCAGGATGTTTGGCCAAATCAATCTAATCTCTGGTGTTAAAGCAGGATGTTTGGCCAAGTCAATCTAATCTCTGTTGATAAAGCAGGATGTTTGGCCAAGTCAATCTAATCTCTGGTGTTAAAGCAGGATGTTTGGACAAGTCAATCTAATCTCTGGTGTTAAAGCAGGATGTTTGGCCAAGTCAATCTAATCTCTGGTGTTAAAGCAGGATGTTTGGCCAAGTCAATCTAATCTCTGGTGTTAAAGCAGGATGTTTGGCCAAGTCAATCTAATCTCTGGTGTTAAAGCAGGATGTTTGGCCAAGTCAATCTAATCTCATGTGTTAAAGCAGGATGTTTGGCCAAGTCAATCTAATCTCTGGTGTTAAGCAGGATGTTTGGCCAAATCAATCTAATCTCTGGTGTTAAAGCAGGATGTTTGGCCAAGTCAATCTAATCTCTGGTGTTAAAGCAGGATGTTTGGCCAAGTCAATCTAATCTCATGTGTTAAAGCAGGATGTTTGGCCAAGTCAATCTAATCTCTGGTAATAAGCAGGATGTTTGGCCAAATCAATCTAATCTCTGGTGTTAAAGCAGGATGTTTGGCCAAATCAATCTAATCTCTGGTGTTAAAGCAGGATGTTTGGCCAAGTCAATCTAATCTCTGTTGATAAAGCAGGATGTTTGGCCAAGTCAATCTAATCTCTGGTGTTAAAGCAGGATGTTTGGACAAGTCAATCTAATCTCTGGTGTTAAAGCAGGATGTTTGGCCAAGTCAATCTAATCTCTGGTGTTAAAGCAGGATGTTTGGCCAAGTCAATCTAATCTCTGGTGTTAAAGCAGGATGTTTGGCCAAGTCAATCTAATCTCTGGTAATAAGCAGGATGTTTGGCCAAATCAATCTAATCTCTGGTGTTACAGCAGGATGTGTCTCTGTGCTTCGCCAATTCTCATCTTTTTTTTCACTAATTGGTCTTTTGACCAATCAGATCAGCTCTTTTGCCCATAATTGGGCAAAATATCAGAATTGTGCTGCCACTGTAAACACAGCAAGATACTTTTGGGGTTAAGTCAAGCCTTGGCTGAGTGTGTGAGCTGTAACTCGTAGATGCATGCTGTGCCACCGTCCTGTCATCAGTCATGAGTGTTGTTTCCTGGTGGCTTCACAGGAGGTTGAGGTGGTTGGAATAAGCAACAACTATCTCACACAGCATGGATTCTCCAAAAATACAACCAGAGTGTTCCCTGCTCTGCGGCACACCACTCAGCTTAATGCCAGCGTTCCCTGTTATTCTGTTGTGCTCTATGCCAAGTACTATGTAATACTGAGCACGGCAACATGCATGCACACACACACACACACACTCTACACCTATCGACAGGGGACAGCATACAATTTAGAGGGCTACATTCCTACGTTTCCCACACACTCAACATCAGTGGATCTCTCTCTCTCTCTCTCTCTTCTCGCTCATCAGTCCTCCTGCGTCTCTCTCTCTCCAGCTCTCTATCTCTCTCTCCATCCTCTCTCCCTCTCTCTCTCTCATATCTCTCTCTTCTCTCTCTGCTCTCTCCTCTCCTCTCCTCTCCTCGTCTCTATCTCTCTGCTCTCCCTCCTCTCTCCTCTCTCTCTCTCTCTCTCTCTCTCTCTCTCTCTGGTGGGATGAAGTGTTATGGGACACTGCGCTATGGAACAGCGGGAAGTCAAACTGAAAGGTAAACAGGTTTATCAGTCCAGCTGCTTCTGAAATGGGAGTCTACTTATAAATCTCTGGCACACTACACACACTAACACACTACACACACTACACACACTAAACACACTACACACACTACACACACTAACACACTACACACACTAACACACTACACACACTAACACACACTAACACACACTACACACACTAACACACACAAAACACACTACACAAACTAACACACACTACACACAAACTAACACACACTACATACACTAACACACACACACACACTAACACACACTAACATACACTAACACACTAACATACATTAACATTAATTATTTATTATTATTTAACACACACACACACACTAACATACAGCTAGTGTAGTAGTGGTGACCCCTCAAAAGAAAATAAATGAAGACATACAGTATGTGGCTGCCCTCCTTGGAGGAGGAGTAGGAGGAGGAGGAGGAGGAGGAGGAGGAGGAGGAGGAGGACGAGGAGGAGGACGAGGAGGAGGAGGAGGAGTAGGAGGAGGAGGAGGAGGAGGAGGAGGAGGGACATCTTCAGCCTTGGAATTAAATGATGTAAGAAATGGGCATCTTGTACTGTAGTGCTCTATGCCAAATACTATGTAATACTACACACACACACACACATGCACACACACACACACACACACACACACACACACACACACACACACACACACATGCACACATACACACACACACACACACATACACACACACACACACACACATAAACACACACACACACACACACACAGAGACAGAAAAAAAAACAGACAGCTGTGGCCATGCAAATCTTAGAATGATGGTAAGTTCTGTGGAAGCACATATCCTTACAATTTACGTTGCAATACCATCAAGCTCTGAGCTCCACCTTGCTCCACCATTCATTCTGTAGAAATATGGAGACATGACTGTTGTCTGTGTGACAAGTGCTACGACAACAACAGCACACCTAGGAGACATGACTGTTGTCTGTGTGACAAGTGCTACGACAACAACAGCACCCCTAGGAGACATGACTGTTGTCTGTGTGACAAGTGCTACGACAACAACAGCACCCCTAGAAGACATGACTGATGTCTGTGTGACAAGTGTTACAACAACAACAGCACACCTAGGAGACATGACTGTTGTCTGTGTGACAATTGCTACGACAACAACAGCACCCCTAGGAGACATGACTGTTGTCTGTGTGACAAGTGCTACAACAACAACAGCACCCCTAGGAGACATGACTGTTGTCTGTGTGACAAGTGTTACAACAACAACAGCACCCCTTGGAGAGATGACTGTTGTCAGTGTGACAATTTTTACGACAAACACAGCACCCCTAGGAGACATGACTGTTGTCTGTGTGACAAGTGCTACAAAAACAACAGCACCCCTAGGAGACATGACCGTTGTCTGTGTGACAATTGCTACGACAACAACAGCACCCCTAGGAGACATGACTGTTGTCTGTGTGACAAGTGCTACGACAACAACAGCACCGCAAGGAGACATGACTGTTGTCTGTGTGACAATTGCTACGACAACAACAGCACCCTTAGGAGACATGCCTGTTGTCTGTGTGACAAGTGTTTCAACAACAACAGCACCCCTAGGAGACATGACTGTTGTCTGATGAGACAATTGCTACGACAACAACAGCAACCCTAGGAGACATGACTGTTGTCTGTGTGACAAGTGCTACAACAACAACAGCACCCCTAGGAGACATGACTGTTGTCTGTGTGACAAGTGTTACAACAACAGCACCCCTAGGAGACATGACTGTTGTCTGTGTGAAAAGTGTAACAACAACAACAGCACCCCTAGGAGACATGACTGTTGTCTGTGTGACAAGCGCTACGACAACAACAGCACTAACACACTACAGGACACTACACACAAACACACACAAGACACAACACAGAAAACACACAAAAAAACGACACACACGAAAAATACACACACAACTACCACAACACACGAACACAAACACACGTAACACAACTAAACACTAAAACACTACACACCACCACTACACCGAAACTAAACATCACTACACACACTAACACAAACGCACACACTAACACACACTACACACACTACAACACTAACACAACTACACACACTACACAACTAACACACAACACACATACACACACTAACACACACTAACCACTACACAACCCCGACACACAAACTACACACACTACACACACACACCAACTACACACACACACACAAAAACACTACACACATAAACACTACAACAACTAAACACTCACACCAACACACGACACACACTAAACACACAACACAAACTACAAACACAACACAAACAACACTACAAAACACTAACACACACACACACTACACACACTAACACATACACACACTAAACACACTACAAACACTAACAACTGCACACATACACACACTACACACACTAAAAACATACACAACCTAACACATAAAAACTACACAAACAACATAACACACTACACACACAACAAACACACACTACACACACTACACACACTACACACACTAACACACTACCAACACTAACACACACACACACTAAACCACCACACTACACACACTAACACATAACAACTACACACACAACACACTACACACACTACACACACAACACTAACACACAAACACAACAAACACTAAAAACTAACACACAAACCACACTAACAACTAACATAAAAACAAACACAACACACTAAACACACTACACACACTAAACACAAACAACACAACACAACCACACACTACACACAACACACACTACACACACTACACACACTAGAAACACTACACACACTACACACACTACACACTAACACACTACACACACTACACACACTACAACACAACACACCCCGACACACATAACACACTACACACACTAACCACACACACACTAACACACACTAACACACAATAACTACACACTCACACACTAACACACTACAACACACTACACACACTACAACCACTACACACACTAGAAACACCACTACACACACTACACACACTACCACACACTAGAACCCCACTACACACACTACACACACGTAACACCACTACACACACTAACATACACCCTTCACACACATAAACTTACTAACACCACATACACACAACTAACACACTACACACACTAAACCACACTTACACACCCCACTAAACACACCTTACATACACTAACACACACGCACCCACACACTACACACCACTAACACAAAACTACACACCACTACACAAACACTAAACACACTAACACACTACACACACTACACACACTAACACACTAACACACTAAAAACACTAACACACACTACATACACTACACACACTAACATACATTAACACACACACACACTAACATACAGCTAGTGTAGTAGTGGTGACCCCTCAAAAGAAAATAAATGAAGACATACAGTATGTGGCTGCCCTCCTTGGAGGAGGAGGAGGAGGAGGAGGAGTAGGAGGAGGAGGTGGAGGAGGAGGAGGAGGAGGATGAGGAGGAGGAACATCTTCAGCCTTGGAATTAAATGATGTAAGAAATGGGCATCTTGTACTGTAGTGCTCTATGCCAAATACTATGTAATACTACACACACACACACATGCACACACACACACACACACACACACACACATACACACACACACACACACACACACACAGATACAGAATAAAAAACAGACAGCTGTGGCCATGTAATTCTTAGAATGATGGTAAGTTCTGTGGAAGCACATATCCGTACAATTTACGTTGCAATACCATCAAGCTCTGAGCTCCACCTTGCTCCACCATTCATTCTGTAGAAATATGGAGACATGACTGTTGTCTGTGTGACAAGTGCTACGACAACAACAGCACCCCTAGGAGACATGACTGTTGTCTGTGTGACAAGTGCTACGACAACAACAGCACCCCTAGGAGACATGACTGTTGTCTGTGTGACAAGTGCTACGACAACAACAGCACCCCTAGGAGACATGACTGTTGTCTGTGTGACAATTGCTACGACAACAACAGCACCCCTTGGAGACATGACTGTTGTCTGTGTGACAAGTGCTACAACAACAACAGCACCCCTAGGAGACATGACTGTTGTCTGTGTGACAATTGCTACGACAACAACAGCACCCCTAGGAGACATGACTGTTGTCTGTGTGACAATTGCTACGACAACAACAGCACCCCTAGGAGACATGACTGTTTGTATTAGTTTGCTCTCATTCTTCATGTGTGACAGCGGTATGTGAGGATAGAAGTGGAGGGGGTGGGGATTGCAAGGAGGGACAAGATAAAATGTACTTTATTGTCCATTAACTGAAATGTGTCTTTATACACAACCTACCTCCCTAATACACACTCACACACACACACACACACACACACACTCACACACACACACACACACACACACACACAGAGGGGCTGGAAGCAATGGGTCAGCTGCAGTACAGCGCCTCTAGAGCAATTATACGTTGTGAATTGCCAAAATGGCAGGTAATTGTATTTAGGATAATTCCAGCAACCTTCCACTCCAGATTTTCTCGTCTGTGCTGGGATTCAACCCAGCAACCCCTGTTTGCTGGCCTGCTACCACTAGGCTACTTGTCGCCACAATATGTTTCCACATACAACTGCAACAGTGGAGTGGGGAAATAAACTAACATTTTCTAATTACTGGGTATTCATCTCTGTCTGTCTGTCTTCTCCTTGGCTCGAGAGCGTATACGAGAGAGAGCGACTCGAGCGGCTATCGCTCATAGATCATATCTCTTTTCTGATCTGCAATAGCATCGTATCATCTTCAACTCTCTCTACTCTCTCTATCCTACTCCTTCTCTCTACCCACTTCTTCTCTCTCTCCCCCCTCTCTCTCTCCCCCTCTCTCTCTCCTTCTCGCTCTCCCCCTCGCTCTCTAGCAGAGCGAAAGTATTCAGAGAATCTGTAATTTTTTTGCGGCAAATAGTTCAATATAACAGGCAGGAGTGAGCGCAAAATAGTTTGATTGTATTTTTGTATTGTTTGTATCTACCAATGGCCTGTATAGGTCTGGAAAGATACATCCGTTGTTTTGTTATTTTAGTTTTACTCTGCCTGCAAACACGCTGGATGATTCAGAATCCATTGAAGAGATTGAACGATTCATTGACGAGAGATACTTACGAGCTCAAAGAAACATGTCGCAGGTTTCGGAGGATTCAAGCGCTGTTTAGGACAACAAACACAACCAACAAAACAAACCAAAGCCAGGTTGGCCAAGCGGTATCAACGATGGCACCAAAGAGAGGAGAGGTTAACGGATATGGATGTTAACTTGTTGAAATCCATCAATGAAAGGCTTGCCAAACTTGATATCTCGGATATACTACGAGAGGACATCAATGCATTATGTGCCAGTCTAGAATTCAGCCAATGTCAGATTGATGATCTAAGGAAAGAGAACACGGAGCTGAAAGATACTGTAGACTCTATACTGTATACTGTAGATCTATACTGTAGACTCATAATGAGACTCTATATGTAGACTCTATACTGTAGATCTATACTGTGACTTAGATGTAGACTTATTACTGTAGACTCTATAATGTAGTCTCTATACTGAGACTCTATACTGTAGACTCTATTCTGTAGACTCTATACTGTAGACTCTATTCTGTAGACTCTATACTGTAGACTATTCTGTAGACTCTATTCTGTAGACTCTATACTATAGACTCTATTCTGTAGACTCTAGACTGTAGACTCTATTCTGTAGACTCTATCTGTAGATCTATATGTAGACTTATACTGTAGACTCTATAAGTAGACTCTATACTGTAGACTCATACTGTAGACTCTAGAATGTAGACTATACTGTAGGACTCTATCTGTAGACTCTATACTGTAGACTCTATACTGTAGACTTACTACTGTAGACTCTATACTGTAGACTTATACTGTAGACTCTATACTGTAGACTCTATACTGTAGACTCTATACTGTAGACTCTATACTGTAGACTCTATACTGTAGACTCTATACTGTAGACTATCTGTAGACTCGTAGTTTTCGTAGACTCTTTTCTGTAGACTCTATACTGTAGACTCTATACTGTAGACTCTATTCTGTAGACTTATACTGTAGATTTATTCTGTAGACTCTATACTGTAGACTCTATACTGTAGACTCTATCTGTAGACTCTATACTGTAGACTCTATATGTAGACCTTTGTAGACTCTATACTGTAGACTCTAAGTAGACTTTCTGTAGACTCTATACTGTAGACTCTATACTGTAGACTCTATACTGTAGACTCTATACTGTAGACTCTATTCTGTAGACTCTATACTGTAGACTCTAGACTGTAGACTCTATTCTGTAGACTCTATACTGTAGACTCTATTCTGTAGACTCTATACTGTAGACTCTATACTGTAGACTCTATACTGTAGACTCTATACTGTAGACTCTATACTGTAGACTCTATACTGTAGACTCTATACTGTAGACTCTATACTGTAGACTCTATCTGTAGACTCTATACTGTAGACTCTATCTGTAGACTCTATACTGTAGACTATCTGAACTCTATTCTGTAGACTAATGACTATAGACTCTATCTGTAGACTCTATACTGTAGACTCTATTCTGTAGACTCTATTCTGTAGACTCTATACTGTAGACTCTATTCTGTAGACTCTATACTGTAGACTATTCTGTAGACTCTATTCTGTAGACTCTATACTATAGACTCTATCTGTAGACTCTAACTGTAGACTCTATCTGTTAGTAACTCTATCTGTAGACTCTATTCTGTAGACTCTATACTGTAGACTCTATCTGTAGACTCTATACTGTAGACTCTATACTGTAGACTCTACTGTAGACTCTAACTGTAGACTCTTACTGTAGACTCTATTCTGTAGACTCTATCTGTAGTCTATACTGTAGACCTTCTGAGACTTATCGTAGACTTATTCTGTAGACTCTATTCTGTAGTCTATACTGTAGACTCTATCTGTAGACTCTATACTGTAGACTCTATACTGTAGACTCTATACTGTAGACTCTATACTGTAGACTCTATACTGTAGACTCTATACTGTAGACTCTATTCTGTAGACTCTATACTGTAGACTCTATACTGTAGACTCTATACTGTAGACTCTATACTGTAGACTCTATTCTGTAGACTCTATTCTGTAGACTCTATTCTGTAGACTCTATACTGTAGACTATTCTGTAGACTCTATCTGTAGACTCTATACTGTAGACTCTATACTGTAGACTCTATACTGTAGACTCTATACTGTAGACTCTATACTGTAGACTCTAGACTGTAGACTCTATACTGTAGACTCTATACTGTAGACTCTATTCTGTAGACTCTATATCTGTAGATCTATACTGTAGACTCTATACTGTAGACTCATATACTGTAGACTCTATACTGTAGACTCTATTCTGTAGACTCTATACTGTAGACTCTATACTGTAGACTATTCTGTAGACTCTATTCTGTAGACTCTAGACTGTAGACTCTATACTGTAGACTCTATACTGTAGACTCTATACTGTAGACTCTATACTGTAGACTCTATACTGTAGACTCTAGACTTTAGACTCTATTGTAGACTCTATACTGTAGACTCTATCTGTAGACTCTATACTGTAGACTCTATACTGTAGACTCTATACTGTAGACTCTATACGTAGACTCTATACTGTAGACTCTATACTGTAGACTCTATACTGTAGACTCTATACTGTAGACTCTATACTGTAGACTCTATACTGTAGACTCTATACTGTAGACTCTATACTGTAGACTCTATACTGTAGACTCTATACTGTAGACTCTATACTGTAGACTCTATAATGTAGACTCTATACTGTAGACTCTATACTGTAGACTCTATACTGTAGACTCTAGACTGTAGACTCTATACTGTAGACTCTATACTGTAGACTCTATTCTGTAGACTCTATACTGTAGTCTCTATACTGTAGACTCTATACTGTAGACTATATTCCGTAGACTCTATACTGTAGACTCTATACTGTAGACTCTATACTGTAGACTCTATACTGTAGCTATACTTAGACTCTATACTGTAGACTCTATACTGTAGACTCTATACTGTAGACTCTATACTGTAGACTCATACTGTAGACTCTATACTGTAGACTCTATACTGTAGACTCTAGGACTTAGACTCTATATGTAGACTCTATACTGTAGACTCTATACTGTAGACTCTATACTGTAGACTCTAGACTGTAGACTCTATACTGTAGACTCTATACTGTAGACTTTATACTGTAGACTAGACTGTAGACTCTATACTGTAGACTCTATACTGTAGACTCTATACTGTAGACTTATACGTAGACTCTATACTGTAGACTCTATACTGTAGACTCTATACTGTAGACTCTATACTGTAGACTCTAACTGTAGACTCTATACTGTAGACTCTATACTGTAGACTCTATACTGTAGACTCTATTCTGTAGACCTCTATACTGTAGGTCTCCGATTACTTAGACTCATACTTGACTAGACTGTAGACTCTATTAATTCGTAGACTCTATACTGTAGACTCTATAGACTGATAAGACTCTATTATGTAGACTCTCTACTGTATAGACTCTATACTGTAGACTTCATACTGTAGACTCTATACTGTAGACCTCTATACTGTAGACTCTATACTGTAGACTCAGGACTGTTGACTCTATAACTGTAAGACTCTATTACTGTAGACTCTAGATGTTTAGACTATAATTTCGTCGGCCTCTTACTGTAGGGGGACCTTTTTATTACTGTAGACTAGACGGTTCGACTCTATACTGTAGACTCTAGAATGTAGGACTCTATACTGTAGACTCTATTCTGTAGATAGGCCCTCTATACTGTAGACATCTATTACTGTAGGACTCTATTTCTGTAGACTCTATAATGTAGACTCTATACTGTAGACTCTATTCTGTAGACTCTATACTGTAGATCTATACTGTAGACTCTAGACTGTAGACTCTATTCTGTAGACTCTATACTGTAGACTCTATACTGTAGACTCTAGACTGTAGACTCTATACTGTAGACTCTATTCTGTAGACTCTATACTGTAGACTCTATACTGTAGACTCTATACTGTAGACTCTATTCTGTAGACTCTAGACTGTAGACTCTAGACTGTAGACTCTAATTATTACAAGGTGGAGGTGGTGCAAAGGGAGAACAAACAACTTAAAGAAACCTTGCTTGATGTACCAGTGTCGATCAAAGCAGGACAATCTCATCTTCTCAGGGATACTGGAGAATGACAACAGCAGAGGCTGTGAGGACACTGTCCGAGACTTTGATGTAAACTCAACTGAAACTGCCCACAGATGTAGTGCGTAATGTTACTTTCTCCAGAGTCCATTGAATGGGTAAGGCCTCACGGAATAGGCCACGTGCTATTATTGCATGTTTTGTACATTTGAAGCAAATCTGAGTTGGTGTGTTGTAGTATATCATGATGACTTCAACTATAACAAATACATGCTCTATTGATCTTCACTTGACAAGGAAAGGGTTGCGTATAGCTCAGGTTAATGTATGTAGCCTTCCTAACAAAATACATGAGGTTTTTAACTTGGTTAACATAAATCATATTATTTTTTATTTTATTTAACCGAAATGCATTTGGATGCATCTGTTAATGATGGGAAAATTAACATTCATGGGTATAGTCTATTTAGAAGGGACAGGAATAGGATTGGTGGTGGTGTAGAATTGTACATTCAGAATCATAAACCTTTACAGAGGAGGGATGACCTTAATGTATGTCAAGAAGAGGCACTATGGGCACAAGTACATCTGCCTCACCTCACCACCCATATTGATAGGATGTGTGGATGACTTGTGCACTGGGTATGACCAGGCCACAGACAGTAACCGAGATGTATTTACCTTGGGTGATTTTAATATAAATTGGAAGGATTATAATCATTAAAATATAACTAAATTAATGAGATATTTCGAGAGCTGTGGTTTGAAACAAATGGTTAATGACACTACTAGATCATCAAATAAGTTGGGTCACCGTTCAGACACGTGCATTGATCTGATCTTCTGTAATATACCATTGCAATGCTTAAAGGCCATATCAATGCCAGTGAGCTGGACAGACCATAATATTCTGACCATAACCATGAACACTAAGGTTCCAAAGAAACCCCCAAGGACTGTGGTCAAGAGAAACATTTTAACATTTAGTCATGAGCAATTTCAGAATGATTTGGCTGCTGTACCCTGGGAGCTGATTTATCTAGAGGATGATTTAAATCACGCTACAGAATGTTTTATTGATTTGCTCACTGGGGTAATGGACCATCATGCCCCAATAAGAAAGAGTACAGTTGGGGCTCGTCCATCTCCATGGATTGATGACGAACTGGGTGAGGCATTTTTTCAAAGAAATACGGCAAAAGTCTTAGCAGCCAATTCTAAACAAGAAATGTATTAACAGATTTATAGAACACCACATAATTATGTAGTTAAATTAAATCGCAATAAGAAAAACTTTATTTTACAAAAATGCTTTTATTGATTGTAAAAATGGTTCAAAAAAGGTATGGAATACAGTTACGGAATTACAGCTATCTCATCATGCCCATCTAGTGTGGAGGTTGACGGGAGAACAACAATAAAACCAGATGATATTGCCAATCATTTTGCAGATTTTTACAAAGAAAACTAATTTATTTTGAGAGATAATGTAAACACTCATTCTTCCAAACAAGCTATTGTCCAATGGATTGATGACCTTATTATGAGCAAAAAAAACCCTGCTCTTTTAGCCTACCATTGGGGTAAGTAGAGGAGGTGTTAAACCTATTGAAGTCATTACCCAATGGTAAATCTACAGGTTATGAAGTCATTACCCAATGATAAATCTACAGGTTATGATCTCATGGACAATTTTTTACTTCGCTTTGCTGCTTCCCCACATAGTAGCTCCACTGAAATACATATTTAATTGGTCACTGGAAAAGGGGACATTTCGAAATGTATGGAAGCATGTGTCCAATCCTGAAAGACAGCAAAGAACCCATTACTCCTGCCAATAGTCGACCAATCAGTCTACTCCCTTCACTCAGTAAGATATTGGATGGTATTGTGACTAGACAAATATGGGAGTACATGGAAAAGAAAGATCTGATCACAGCCAATCAGCATGATTATTGCAAAAAAACATTCCACTACCACTGCATTGGTTGACATGACTGACCAGTGGCTCAATGCTATGGATAATGGCAGGTTTGTGGGTGTACTACTTTTAGATTTCATTGCAGCATTGTGGATCACTAAATAATTTTGACAAAATTATTGCTGTATGTGTTCAAGGAGGCAGCATTGAATTGGGTACAGTCATATCTAACCGACAGGAAACAGTCCACCTACTGTATATCAATGGGTAATTTTCTTCCCCTCATGCTTCAAACTGTGGAATACCGCAGGGCAGCTGCCTTGGGCCACTTCTTTACTTAATGTACACCAACGACCTTCCTCATGCCTTATCTGAAACTCAAGCTACTACATTTGCAGATGACACTACAATTTATAATATATAATACAATACAATCGGTTCAACAGGTACAGCAAGCTCTACAAGTAGATCTGGGAAATATCAGGGAGTGGGTTTGCCGGAACAAACTTGTTTTAAACGGCAAGAAAACCGAGTTTATGTTGGTCTGTTCCACCAGGAAAAGGCCAACACAACATGGGATGCGATTAAGTATAGAGGAAGTAAAAATTGAGGAAGTTGCAAAAAACCAAACTACTAGGTGTGCAGCTAGAAAACTGCTTATCATGGTCTTCTAAAAAAGACTAAATGCATGTATGATCAGAAGGATAGCTAAATATTTGCCGGGAAATATTTTTTAAGCAAACAACCCAAGCATTAATTGGGAGTCTGTGGTTCTGTGGTCTGGGCAAATGCATCAGCAAGTGAGATTAGGAGGCTGCAGATTGCACACAGAACAAAGCAGCAAGGATTATTTTAAGGTGGAGATATGATTCTTCTGTTGTAGTCATGCACAATGCTCTTCGGAGGTCATTGATCAACAAGATAATTGAAAAAAACATACTCCTTTTATTTCACAATGTACAACATTTCGATTCAGAGCAATAAATACATTGAATAATTTATCTGAGCAAACCAGAAACCTTTCAATACATAAATTCAAACAATACTTTAGAACCATTTAAATATAATACATTGGAAGTTTGGGCAGGACTATGGCAGATGAAGGAACCACTCTATCTTTTCAAACTGTCAGAGTATTTATTTGGTCAATATGTCAGTGTACTATGTCTGTTGTTTGTAACAGTGTGTTTTATGTGAAAATGTGATTGTATTATACACTGTTTTTTAATGTTTAAGGACTCTTGGAAGATTAGTCCAAATGAGGACTAAGAGAGATCCTAATAAAATAAAATAAAATAAAATATCTCCTTCTCTCTCCCCTTCTCTCTCTCTCTCTCTCCCCCGCTCTCTCCCTCTCCCTCTCTCTCTCCTCTCTCTCTCTCCTCTCCCTCTCCCTCTCTCTCTCTCTCTCTCTCTCTCTCTCTCTCTCTCTCTCCTCTCTCTCCTCTCTCCTCTCATCTCTCTCTCTCTCTCTCTCTCTCTCTCTGTGTGTGTGTGTGTGTGTATGTGTGTGTGTGTGTAGTATTACATAGTATTTGGCATAGAGTACCAGAGTACAACATGCCCATTTCTTCAATTACTAAATTCACAGATAAAAATGTATTACTTAATTTAAACAAATAATTAATGTGTTTTATGTTTTTTTCTTCTGATTTGCATTGGTTGTATTTCTTCACACAGAAGCGAATTGTCAACAGGTAGTGCTGGCACCTTCTCATAAAATAAAGACAAGTCAATATTTAAGAAATCTGTTATTTAGAGCTGAATTTACTGTAGGAGACATAACTAGACCCATGCGCCCAAGCCGCTATGGAAACATTGGTGCGTAAAAATACCACTACAACTGATTGTTGCCGAATTAAGGACGACTTTCAAACCCACCTGAATCACTATCTTCAATACGACAGGAGACACGATGGTGGTGCATATCTTCTCCCGGTGGGGTCCATGATACTTCTGTCCCATGGTGAAGAGCATCGGAGAGGCCAAGAGGAACGAAGCCACCCACATCCCACTGATCAGCTTCTTGGTGCGACTGCAGGACATGATGCTCTTCGCCTTGAAAGGGTGGCAAATCGCCATATAACGCTCGACGCTGAGACTGGCGATGTTGAAAGCCGTGGCATACGAGCAGGCATCCCGAATGAAATAGTAGCCTTTACAAACAACTCCTCCGAACGCCCAAGGATGATGGACCCAGATGAAATTATAGAGCTCGACAGGCATGCTGAGGACTAGTATGAGCAGGTCGGAGACGGCGAGACTGGACAGGTGGTAGTGGACAGTGCTTTGGATGTTCTGGAGGGACTTCTTGGTCAGCAGGGTGTATAGCGTAACGGAGTTCCCTAAGCAGCCGACCGCAAAGAGCGCGATATAGATCACAGTGACCAGGACCTTGGAGTAGATGTTAGTGTTCACGTCCAATGAGTCCTCCTGATCGAGCTCCGTTCCGTTGTCAAATAGAGAGTAGTTCTCCAGACGCAGAGAGTAGTTGTTCCTCGGAGTCAGAAGTTTCTGCGCCAGCGCGCGTAAGTGTAGAAAGTCGCGCCCTGTCAGTGTGAAATTCAGCTCCATATTGTGTAATGTAAATAATTAACTCTTAAAACCACTTGTGTACGACTACAGAAATATCGCACTATATTAAAATCCTGTTGAGAAAACGCATGTAGTGTTTGCGCGTAAAAGCGGGAAGGGGAGAGTACCGGTTTGAGGCCAAGAGGGAAGTTGTGATGCTTTTATATCTGGCATAAGAGGAGGCGTGCTGGACTCGCAACCTTGAGCGATGACGGAGTGCCATTCAGTAATCGGTGTTTTCTTGTTGTTATAATCCTTTGATATTTAACTTTGAATTCCTAAAATAGACTCAATCTTTATAAAATGTGTCTTCCATGTATAAATGTACAGTACCAGTCAAAAGTTTGGTTTTTCTTTATTTTTACTATTGTTTACATTGTATAATAATAGTGAAGACCTCAGAACTATGAAATAACACATATGGAATCATGTAGTAACCAAAAAAGTGTTAAACAAATTAAAATATATTTTGTATTTGAGATTCTTTGCACACTTGGCATTCTCTCAACCAGCTTCACCTGGAATGCTTTACCAACAGTCTTGAAGGAGTTCCCACATATGCTGAGCACTTGTTGGCTGTTTTTCCTTCACTCTGTCGTCCGACTCATCCCAAACCATCTCAATTCAAATAAAA